GGAGGAGGCCCAATCTGTGGGATCTTATGGGTCGAGAGGAGGTGATTGGCAGGAGGCGGTCTCCCAAGTACTCCCAAGTAATTGATGATTTATCAATTATTTTTTCTAACTATTTTAGTAATATTAATCATAAAATCATATGATAAATTGGTTAATTATCAATAGAGTTCTTTCGAAGGCTTACATTAAATCATAAAGTTTCCATGGACTGTATCATGGCATTATAGAGTTACTGTAGGTGTTTTTGTACTAACTGAATAAAAATATGTTTCTATACAAGTGGGAAATCATTCGTTTATAGCTAGTTCCCCCCCCACTACAAAACATGCATTTTCTTGCTTTGCTGAAATGATTATTTAATTATGTGAGCACCTATCTGCATTCTAACTGGCATGTTCTACATGCAACTTTATCACTGCATTTCTTGTTGGTGGAACTTGGTTTTATTTCAGTCACGAACCTCCTGTTCAGTCAAGACTTTGAAAGAAACAATGTGAGATTCACATTGTTCAGGCAGTTGCAAATTCATCCTCCAAGAGCAGGTGGTCCCATCTGATCTTAAAAAGGTTGCTGTGCATTCAGTGAGGTCATCCAACTCCACAGAGTCAGATATCATCCATGCACCGATGATAATCAGTTATATTCTTCGACCTCTGGTCAACCCAATGTTCTTGTTACATTATCTCTTTCTCAGGATAATGAGCACTGCTCTACATCGTCAATAGTTTTCTGGACGCAATTGCCATATACATTCTTGCCATATATAAAACCTTTCATGGCCCAGGGCTGAATTATTTGCAGAATTTCCTGTCTTCAATTATTTCTGCTTGTCCCACGAGTTCAGGCAAAGTTGGCATTATTTTAGACCCCTTGATTAAATAATGTCATTTGATGGGAACCAGGAAATGTGTCTTTTGCTTTATCTGCTCTGTGCAACACCAAGAACCAGATTTTTCTGACCATTATGGTTTTTGTGCTGCATTAATAACTTGGCTTTCCTTCTGTTCCCAAGTATTGAGGTAGAAAGTTAAGTGAGCCTGTCTGAAGGCTTGTTGATGTGGACGTATGTGTGTTGCTCTGAACACAATGGGACAAATTGAATGAATGAGAAAAAACAAACAAAACCAAGTCGAGTATTTATGTCATTCCACCTAAAGTTAGAGTGGCCAACCCTTCTTGGAAGGGCATTCAGACTTGGGTTTGCCATCAGGCTTCCTGGAATCACGGAGTCCATTTAAATAGTTGCATTGTTTGTTATGTTCAACATTTACTCCCCCATAGTTTTGGTCGTTATTATTGCATCAATGGTGGGTTCCCCCCAGTTCGGCCGAACCGGCAGTGGTTTGGTGGCCTGGTTTGCTGGAACCGGCAGTGACCCAAGCCTGCACGCCCCTGAACCAGCAACATCGATGCCGCCATCTTGTTTTTATTGCACTGACAATGCACACATCAAGCGCATGTGCGCAGCACGCACAAGAGCGAACCGGCAGTAGTGCCTGCCGGAACGCACCCCTGCATTGCCTGCACTGCCCAGAGTCATTTGTGAGATTGGTGGCTATATAAATTCGATCAATCAATCTCAATCATCATTTTCATAATTGTGCGTGAATTCCAGGAGACATTTGTAGAGCTAATAAGGCATGCAAATCCAATGCCAAAAACAAAAGTTATATAGTGAAGACAACGGACATTTAAGGATGCAACTTTATACTTCAAAATTCTGTTTCTCATCTGTCTAATCTGCATTTTCCAAACAAACGTGAAATTGGTTACCTGCAACTTTGTTCTAAAAACCTAAAATGGCAAACCCCCAGCTGAGGTGATATTTGGCAAGTTGATATTTTTTGTAATAAATCCAAGCTTCCTGCAGCAGAGAAAGGGGAAGATGCTTCTTTGGATCCTCTCCCTGGATTTTCTGAGTTAGAAATGCTTAAAAACCACCTTCTGCCTGGCGTAACTTTGCCCTGGTGATCTGGCTGGGTTGGGGTCCTGCTTCTTCATTTCTGATGGGCGTCCTCTTTTTGGAGTATCTTCAAATGAGCCAGGATTTCAGCCAATAGAAATTACTGATTCTAATAATCAGTTTCCAGCCATTTGTGGGGCCTTAAAGAGAGCAAAGCAAAAGTACAAAAACAAAAGCAAGCCAAAGCAGGCATATTTGGGTGGGTTTAAGGGTAACTTTGAATTAAAACAAAACAAAATGCACTATAAGATTTTGTGATTTTGTTCGTTTGAGTTTGAGTAAGGATGATCTAAGGATGCCGGGGAATAAATTAATTCTTGTGGGACACAATTGCCCTGAATGTTGCAGAAAACATTAAATGTCATTCATCAGAACAGAAAGAATTATCCAACTCTACATCTCAACAAGAACCAAAAAGGTATCAGACCTACCTGCAAATTTAATATGAAACTTATTTTCAGGCTTCAGTATCTGAACGTACAATGGACAATTTGGAGCAAAATCTTTAAGTGCCCAAGCTCTTAAAATGGTTTGATGGTCCTAGAATAAAACATAAAACAGCACATCAGAAGGTTTAAGACAAGATACAAAATTGACTATATTAATGAATATAAATGTTCATGTATAGCTGACAATGTGCTATTAAAAATGCAAAAAAGCTTCCTTTATTTGACACATGCTTTTTCAAGGAAGAAGTCTTTCAGCTTCTATACTTTGAACTATTTTTCAAACATAAGAACATCCCATAGTTTTGTGCCAATTATAGCAGAATTCATAAGTAAATATACTGCTGTTAAAAATAACACAAAATGATTCAGACCAGATTTTCCCTTAAATGACTTTAATATGACTTACAGTCTGAGCTTCTGGAACTCAGGTAGATCACGAAGGTTTCCAAATCAATTTCAGAATGGGATATCTTACCCATGCACATTTTCCTTTCTTATGTCTATTTAACTTATATAATGCATTTTGAACATGACCATTTCTACATGGGCACTTTTAGATAGTACACGATTTGAACTGGGAGCCACTGGCTTGTAGATCCCATTGCATAAAACTACACTATAGCAAAACGTCTGTGGAGATTCCCAGTCATCCAGGAGGTCTCGGTCGTCCCAAAGGTGCTTTTTTCAAGAGGCAACTGGGCTTTCTGCTTTTTCCTCTGAAGACGTTTTGCTTCTCATCCAAGAAGCTTCTTCTTCAGCAGTTTTGATGAGAAGCAAAACATCTTCAAAGAAAAAGCAGAAAAAGCACCTTTGAGACTATCTCAACGTATTAATGTTTTATTATGACGTCTTCTTTGAAGAGAAATTGGACTGCATTACAAGTTACACAAATTTCATACAAATAGGAATCCCAATAGCAGTGACAAAACCATATATGAAGCAGGCATCTGACCGATATTTTCTGCAATTTCTACATATAATAAACAGCATTGTTACATCCAATGAAAGTGAGGAATCAAATGCTTGCTCCCAAACTCTATTGTCCTGACCGATCCCATCCAATCCCACCTCATCCCACCCTACCATACCCTACCCATTTGAAAACCTCAGAATATTTCTTCATGTGCAAGGAAACATTCCTTTGTGGAATGTTTTTTTAATACGTGATTATAAGCTAAGGAAATACATCTCCAGCATAGTTAATTTTGGGGGACAAAAAGGAAGAGAGTTTTTTTCTGCTACTCATTCAGAATGCTTAGTCTTATAACACTGACCTTAAGAACTAGTTACTACAAATTTACATAAACAAAGCACAGAAGAATAAATAGGTATAATTAAGCAGTTGACCTGTGAGAAAGATTACTGTTTGGGGGAGAGAGGGGGGGGAGGGGGAGAGATAATTTATATGTACATGCATAAGGAAAGCAGATTGTTAAGTATTTGGAATCAAAACAGTTTTAACAGAAATTTTTCACGCATGCAAATATACATAAATGGAAATTGTTGGAAGAATTATCAACAGAATAATAGATCAATTAATTCATTTTTTTAAGATCTTCACTTTCATTTCAGTACTTTACAACCAGTTGCTCTTAACAAACATAAAGAGCTTGACTGAAAAGTTCTATTAGAAAATCACAAAAATTCAGCACATTAAAATGTTCCTTTTAATAATGCTTCTAAATTCTACGACATTGTTCCTTTGAGCTCTGTATCAGACTTTTTATATTTTTAATTGTCTTCTGAAAAATACAAGACAGAATAATTTACAAAAACTAATGATGCTAGGAAATGAAATGGATTGTCTAGTCATAAAGTTGCTTGGGTAAGAAAAGAGAGAAAGAGAATAGCATAATTCATTTGTGTGATGTCAGCAGATAAGAAAGGCTTATATCTGGTCTGATAAAGACAGAAAAATTCATTTGAAAAGTTAAAGACAATTAATATCTTTAAATTAAAGGCATTATTTCAACAGAAGTAAGATGAAGTATTTTGGCTTAGAATTAAAAGCAGAATAGCATGGCTAAGTTTCAAAAACCTGGTTTTTGAACTCATCAAGCAAGAAATTAACATGAATTCTATTGATTGGTAAATTTCTGTTCTCAGCTGAGAATACTAAAGAATAATAAACAATCAGAGGGGGATGTTTTCAAAACAGTTTTAGCAGGAGGGGGTTTATATTGTAATTTCCTTGCTGAGCTTCAATAAATCATGCTTGAAATTGAACATTGACAAGTCTCTGTGACAGCTGACTTTGAACTTCTCCAGAGCATTTCTTGTTGACATCCTCACATAATATTGAGAACAACTGATCTACAATGAGATACTTACTACCAATGTAGTGTTATGTTGGGTCTGAATTACTTCTGTAGCTTTTCTATTGTTCGAAGCTTAAGACCCTGCATCTTACTAATCTTACTTCCCTACTTTATACCGTTTGCCTGATAGCCTGAAGATTATGATAAATAAATCAAGCTAAAGTACAGTTGCTAAAAAATCAAAGTGTTTGATTTTTAAGCTATCTAATCACAGCTTATATGGACAGACTCCTGTGAAAGTAGACATTAATGTCATTTTATTCTAATTGATTGAAGCGGGAATTCTTTCCAGACAACGTGTCTGGAGAAATTTGTGGTTCTCCATGACAATACAGAGCTGACCTAATTTCTGAATGTTCAGGAAAAATAATTACACTTTCAGTCACACAGACCTTTACTGGATTAATATCCAGTGAGTATTTCTCCTGAAATATTGAAAATATTATTTATGCTCTTGATGCATTTTGAATAATTCTGTTTTAAAGGGAACATTAAAAATGTTACAAAGAAGTTGGCCTTATTTCAGTCAAGTTAATCAATGAATTATTACTGATGTTGCTTTCGGGAGGAGAGAGAAGTTGCAGATAGTTAGTCCTAAATGAAATGATTTCTTTTTTCAGGAAACAAAAATGCCTTGTTGTAAAAATAGAGCACTCCCAAATCTCATCAACCATCCCAAACTGTAAGTTATAAAATCTTTCTCATACGCATTTATTCAGTTCATCAGATGATGAGTAAATGATGCATGAAAATATATGCAATAATAAAATTAGTGTTTAAGATTTCACAAATCTCTCTCTTTATTCCTCTAAATGATTAATAGTTACCTCTTTGAAAATTATTTGATTTACTTTTTATGATAGGATAATAATTCTCACTATACATAATTTGGAAATAAACTGGAAATACAACCATTCTCTTTGAAATTATAGTCATATGTATCTGCAAAATTTCTACCTAGTCCTCTCTGTGTTTCTGATTAGCAGAATACATATTATGTAAATATAGCTTTGTTATTTTGTTTAAATCACCAACATCATCATTATTGCCACCATCACTGCCACTGTTTTCATATAGCCTAAATTCTAACACCTAGCCTCTTGATGTAGGAAAAACACTGAGAATTTAGACATGTTATTGTGGAGAACTAAATGAGTTATTTAAAACATGAATGTTCATGCTCCCCTTCAATAAAACTGTCAGGATAGATTATGGTACAGTAATAAAAGCAAAAAATGATAGATATAAAACTAATAGCAATCAAATGGGAGAACAGCCAAAAGCAGCAGTTAAACAACAGTGCAGTTGATGAAAGATTTTATATACAGGGCTTTGGTAGATTGGAAAGCAAATCACAACAATATGATAAATCTACTGTGACCCTTATGCTTTGGCTCGGTTATCAGTGCTATTACATCCATATAGTGTCATTTTATCACTAATATTTTTATTTCTTTCCAAATAGTGGGAACAAATAGGTTTCAATCAGCATGGAGTTTTCTGCAACCACAACTTTTCCTTTTGGTTTATTTTTTCAGTGTGCAATCAAGTGAGACTCAGAAGAATCAAAAGAAAGACATAATTTATGACCAGCAATTTAGCTGAAGTTCCATTTCCTGGACAGAAGTGCAGAAGTGACATATTTTACGACATTGTTGTACACCACATAAAGTTGCCTTTGGTGATACGGGTGACTATATAAATTTGATTAATACCATAAAAAGGGGGAAGCGTTAGTACAAGCAGTGCCGCCACGACAAGGCCCTTCCCCATAGGCACTGGTTATAGGGGAGAAAAAAAGTTGCAAAAATGATATTTGGCTCCAGTGATACAGCAAAATCTGGCCTTACAATTATTCTTTTGACAAACGTGGTATAAGCCAGTCTTCCTTCCTAGGTAAAATTACCCAACTCCTCCAATAATTATCACTGGGACATAAACCATACACATATTACTGAGGGTAAAATGGACAAGAACATTGACCTGGAACTCCTCCTTCATGTCACTCAGTAATGTATGAAATTCAAGTCAAGCAGAATTGTGAAATACATCTCAGTTCTTTTCTCTATCTGATTCCGATCAGAAAGTCCAGAGAGTTTCATAAAGATTGCCCCCAAACAGCAAAATAATAGTACTTAAATAATAACAAAGGAATGTGGCAGCTATGGTGCCCAACAAATTAAGCGCTGCTTGCAATTTCAGTATGATGGCTTCAATCTTGTGGAAAGAATGGCAAAAAAATTTAATGTTGCATTTTTTTACTGCATGTGTAATGTAGGTAAATGTAGGTACGTATCAGGATAAGCAGAATAAAAAGCAGTCATTCCTTCCTCCCAAATTCTGAACATTAGACATGATTTGGAATATGCAATGATTTATAAGAACAAACATTTCCTACCAAGCAACCATGTTGCCAGAAATCTAGAGATAGATGAATTTGTAAACCAAACCTAAGCAGCAGAATGTGAAATGGGGTAAGCAAGCAGAACATTCGGAATTCCCTAAACATTACCGAAACTAACACCAATTCTAATGAAATTGGCATTAAGGCCGTCATTTCCAGAGTTTGATTCTGGGCCACAGAAATGCTTTGAGTAGAGCAGCCCACGAGCCGGATGCATCGTGGTGGCCCTGCCCCCACCTGAATATATATATATATATGAATATATATATATATATATGAATATGATTTTTCTGGCCCAATAGACATATAAACTATTTCCTAAAGATTAAAAAAATGGGGAAGACTTAGAATAGAACTTAGAATAAGGATAAGTAATGACTATTACTTGGATCTTCCCTGAGTGATTTAGCTATTCTACTGCCTTTGATGGAACTGTTTCACAATGTGAGAGTATTAAACTCGGAAGTCTAGTTTTAAAAATAGTCTGCTTATAAGGGAGCAATTACTATTCTAATCATTTTATTTTAAAATTGACTATATGAAGTCAAGATAGTAAAATAGCTTCATTTATCATATTTTAAGAGGACTTAATATACATTTTAATAATATATGTCTTCATATATATAGAAGACTCAACAGCATATATAAACATATTAATATTTTTATCCAGCTCAAAAAATCCCACATAATTCTAAATTGATTGATTATTTGCTATTTAATGAATGTCAACTCATAGCAATCACCTCTTTTATTTCTGACCCATTAACTTAACTATAAAAATATTAAAAGCACATATAAAAATGTAAAAGCATATATAGATGTATTTGGAACGTACCGCTGCAGTTCTGTCCACTTCACAACGGCTGCTTAAAATAAAACAGGCCTCCGCATTATCCATTCTAAAAATCAGAAAGTTTAGGGAAATGTTTAGGAAACTGTTTTTAAGATGCCCAGGAAACTTCTAAAGATAGTTTAAATAAGTACTTGCTTTAAATGTAAACTTTAGGCCAAATTAAAATCTCCCTCCCCCTACTTTTTAAAGAGAAAGTAAATCATATTAAATCAAATATATACTTCTGTTAAAAATACATAGCACTTAGATTTATATACAACTTCATCGTGCTTTACAGCCCTCTCTAAGTGGTTTTTACAGAGTCAGCATATTGCCCCCAACAATCTGGGTCCTCATTTTACCAACCTCAGAAGGATGGAAGGCTGAGTCAACCTACATCCCATAAATAGAAAAATAAGGCATCAAATATAAACATAAATTATACACCTGTATTTTTCTCAGTCTAAATCAGAATAAAATTCCTATATTAGACCATGTGCATCAGCTAAAAAAAAGGAAGCAAAATTGTGCCCATTCTCTGCAATGGTATTTTTGTCAACCAGAATATATCAATTTTAAACGCACTTATTCTGCACATCAGACTGTGGATTCCATCAACTAAGTTTGTAATGTATGTAACAGCATTTCAGATTTTGAGAGATGAAAGCAAGATTTGTATGTGTGTGTATATGCAATGTCACATAAGAAATATGTGTAAAGTCAGTTTAAAAAAAAGCTAGGTAAGACTAGCTAAGACTTCCTAGTAAGTCTTTTGTCCCACTGCTCTGTTCCCGTCTTCCTCCTTTTCTTTGTTTTAACACTTCCACTCCCATCAATTTTCCCCAGGCCACCCTCACAAAAGTACTTTATATTTCTCTTTGTTGGGGCATAGCCTCCTACTTCAATTTTCCTTATGCCACTAACAACCTTCAAAACCACTTTTGTCTGCCTTCCCCCCCCCCCATTTGTTGGGACATCTCTTTTTACAGTTTTCCCTATACCACTGCCAAGACTGATGGAAGTTTTTTGTCTGCTTCTTATTTCCCTCGGTTTCTCTCCCTTTGTTTTGCCCCTATTTAAAAAAAATATTCTATTAACAATAAATGAAAATAAACCATTTTAAAGAATTCTATACTCAATACTTTTAAATGTATTGTGTATAGATTTTTAAAATCGTTTTATTTAAAAATATTGAGTATAGAATTCTTAAAAATGGCTTATTTTAATTTATTGTGTGTGGAATACTTTTAACTGGTTTTATTTTAATTTATTGTGTGTGGAATACTTTAATTGGTTTTATTTTAAATTATTGTGTGTGGAATACTTTAAAATGATTTTATTTTAAACCATTGTGTGTGGAAAACTTTAAAATGGTTTTATTTTAAATCATTGTATGTGGAATCTTTTTAAAATTGTCTTAGACTATTTTAAAAAAGATTCTATCAACAATAAATTAAAATAAACAATTTAAAAATATTCTATCCACAATAAAAGTATTGTGGATAGAATATTTTTAAATGGTTTTTTAAATTTATTGTGTATAGAATATTTTACATGGTTTTATTTTAATTTATCGTGTATAGAATATTTTTAAATTGTTTTTAAGGATTTTTTATTATTTATAGAATATCTTTTTTTAAATTATTTTTAGGGATTTTTTATTCATTTATTGTTTATAGAATGTTTATTACAAGAAATGTTATTGCTTTTTTCAAATGTTTTATTTGTGATGCAATATGTTGCTTTTAAGTGTGCAGGTTGGTACAT